CTGACCCCGCCACGCCGGCCGGCTGGCGGGGGACGTCACGCACCAAAACCCCGCTTTCCCTCCGCGTCCCGCGTCCCAGCGTGTCCCAGCACCCTGCCAGCTGCGGGCCGGGGGCAGCCGAGAAGCCGTTTCCTATTTCGCTGCCGGAATCGGGTTTTAAGCCTCGATTTTACCTGCTTTAACCTCTCCTTCCCAGTTTTCCACTCCTCCCGTTCAGGAGGAACTAGTCCTTTCCTCAGTCCCGCTCCTTTGCCTGAGGTTTTTACTATAAAGGAACCAAAATCACTCATTTATTGTGTATGAAATATATTGATTATGATTTGTCACTGCTGGTTAGATCAGAAATCAACTCAAGGGCACAGATATTTAAGAGGTCTTTTCCCAGCCCAGAGAAGCTGTGGCTGCCCCCTCCCTGGCAGGGTTCAAGGCCAGGTTGGATGGAGCTCTGAGCACCCTGGGCTTGGTGGAAGATGTCCCTGCTCATGGCAGGGGGGGTGGGAACCGAGGGGGGTTGGAACCAGATGAGCTTTAAGGTCCCTCCCAACCCAAACCATTCTCTCATTTTATGATATCCCTTGCGTTAGATAACAACAGCTATCTGGGTGGGTTGGCACCTTCCCAGTGCACATGGTATTTATACAAAAGATCTTTAAAGGTCCCTCCCAACCCAAACCATCCTGCGATTCTGTGATTCTAATTTCTAGCAGAACATCGAAGATATTATGCATTTTCAGTAAATGCTTTTATTGATCACGGGGATGCTTGTCTTCTGTAGCATCAAGATCAACACAATATGTAACATTTAAATGGTTCTGGGTGTGCACAGAGCCAACCAACCCCTTTCCTGACGTTCACAGAAACTGAAGTTTAAAACACCCCAGTTTAAGCAGCTCCTGGTCATCCACACGACTCGGCTCGCCCCAGCCAGGCAGCGGGCGAGCCGGGAGCAAACCCTTCCCCAAACCCCGGCGCGGAAGGCGCTGAGTCAGCAGGGACAGAACGCAGGCTGGATCCTGGCCGGGCCCCTTCGCCCACGCCTCGGCCAAACCCCGGCTCCGGGCTGGCTATATATAGCTCTCCCAACCCGGCTCTGCGCTGGACCTTCTTAACCCTTTGCTGATCCCACGCTACCCGTGTTCTTCTACAGTTTTTCCCCCAGACCCAGCCTGGAAGCTGTTCATTCTTTGTATCTCTGTGCCTGTTCCATCCGACTCGCTTGTTTTAACGAAGCTGGGCCCTGTAATTAAAGTCTATAAGCTATCTGCACCGTGTCCAGTAGGTTACCAGGCTTTGCATTAAAGGCTAGAAATGTTTTCCCCAATTTTAGCCATCATAAACACCAGAGGAACATTTCCAATCAACACGCTGCTTAACGTTACGTCAGGAGAAAGATGTGCTGTAAAAATTATTAATAAACCATCCCACCTGCGGGCTGCTGTTCACTCTCCGTCTCCCGGTTTTTCCCCCCAGAATCTCTTTCACCAGCTTCCCCAGAGACTTTGGGTTTTGCAGCTTCCTCTGTGCGCTCCAAGGGTCTCTCTGGGCATTCCCTGGGCACTGGCTGCAAGGCATCTGATTTTCCACGTCCCCTCTGGAAGCTACGGACGGTTCCTTACCTTTTGACTTTGAGAGCGCAGCCATTTCTTCTTCTGGACTCGTATCTCCTAGAATTTCCATTTCCTCTGCTCCTGCGCCAGCCACAATATCCTCCTCTTCTGGTCCTGCACCGGCAGCATTTTCTTCTTCTGGTCCTGCAACAGCAACGATGTCTTCATCGTCTTCACCCTCGTCCAGATTTTTCCCTGGGAAAGTGTTTTCTTCTTCCTCATCTTCCTCTCCAACTTCATCTACTGTAACAAAGTTTAGATCTTCCTTCATACGATTGTAATCGGCCAGAAAATCATCTTCATCTTCGTTAACTTCGTCCAAAGTCACTAGAGGGTTATCTTCGTTGTCCTCTGGGAGCTCATCCACCGTCACCAACGCGCTGGGATCATCAGGCACCTGAGAGGAACCGAACTCTCTGGCATCCTCCACAGCCTCCTTCTCCTCCTCCTTGACACTCAAGCCCGTCGGCTCGTTGAGGGGCAGCTCTTCTGCAACCCCGATTTCATCCACCGTTACCAAGGGTTCAGCTTTCAAATCCTGCTCCTCAAAAACTGACCTGGGGACATCTTTCTGCGAAGCCAGCTCCTCCTGCTCAGACAGCTCGTCCAGAGTGACAAGGGACTGCGGGTCCTTCACCGCTTCTGACATCAGTTCCTCCTCTTCAGTCACCTCATCCACCACCACCAGGCCCTGCGGGTCACTGAGCGCTTCTAGGTTGGCGACTCCCATCAGCTGGGCGGTCACGTCCTCCTCCTCACCGATCTCGTCCAAGGTGACAAAAGAGAGCTCGCTCTCGGCGATGCACGCCACGGAGCTCTTCTCCTTCCTTCTCTTGGAACCAGGCTCCGAAGAGGAGGGGCTTTTAGCGCCTTCTTTTCTCTTTCCCCTCAGCGGATTTCGCCGTGTTTTAACAGGAGACTTGATCTCCTCGACGACCTCATCCACAGTCACAAATTCATCCAGGTTAAATGGGAACAGCTCTTCATCCTAGGAAGTGTGAAAACGTGAATGTACCAAAGCTCTCCGTCTGCCCAGTGCCCCCCCCCCATCCCCAGGGCGCTAACGGAGAGCATCCGCACGCCGAAGCGGGCGCAAGGGGAGAAAAAAGCAGCGACTTTTCAGGCCTTCAGTCTCACGTGGAAGAGTTTTCATTCTCAGGGCTTAAGTAAGCAGGTTTAATTCAGCAACCCAAAGCATTTCTCAAAAACACAGCGGGGGAACAGACAAAATTTACGTCTATCAGAAGCGCTGGGCCGATGCCCTGAACGCTCCTGCGTGTTTCTGCGCTCGCTCGCAGGAAGGCTACCAAAAACCCAACATCTCCAGAGCATCCTTTTCGCTCTGAGGGTGATGGAGCCCTGGCCCAGGCTGCCCAGGGAGGCTGTGGAGTCTCCTTCTCTGGAGATATTCCAGACCTGCCTGGACGTGGTGCTGTGCAGCCTGCTCTGGGTGACCCTGCTTGGGCAGGGGGCTGGGGCTGGGGGAACCCAGAGGTCCCTGCCAACCCCACCACGCCGGGATTCGGGGATCCTCGCAGCAGACCTTTCAGGCCAAGGCGAGATGAACTTTCCTGCTGCAGAGTCAGACTGCAGCTCAGGTGCACGCTCAGAGCAGTCCTCTGGAAGAAAAAGCGATCTGAAATTCAGAGGCTACGTGTCCTTTCGTCCCTTTCTTTTTTAGAAAGCTAACAAATAGCAGGAATAACGTGGGCTTCTCCAGCCCAATCTGATGCAGAAACCTGAGGAATATTTAATGCCAGGTGGGCACAGAGAAGAAGAAAGGAAGCAACTGGTTACTTTTCAGCTGAAATCAAACATTCCTGTACTCATTCTTCCAGGAAAGGGAGAACACAGATTTTGGATCTTCTCAGCTGCATAACTGGAGAACCAAGCAGTCAGAAGTCCCTGACATTACAAAACCCTTTCTCACAGGGTGCAGGATTTCCTCTTGGGGATGAACAAACACATCTGGAGCCCCAGCTGTGAAAGCCTTCTCTATTGCCAACCCCACCGCCAACTCCACAAACACAACACGCTGGTGACGTGAGCAGTTTATGCAGATTAAGATTAATAAAAGGATTCTGGTCTCCAACTTTACCTCAGAAACCCCTTCTCCATGGGGACCCACCGCTTACCTGGCAGATCTTTGATTTGATCCTGTAACACTACTTCTACAAGCTCATCAATATGGACTTTTCTTACCTTCTTTCTGCTTTTCTTTCC